GGTTTCTCTCCAGTGTGAGTTATTTCATGTTTTCGAAGAGAACTATTATAACTGAACGCTCTCCCACATTCCTTACATTCATAGGGTTTCTCTCCAGTGTGAATCCTTTCATGTACATGAAGAGAACCGGCTGAAGTGAATGCTTTACTGCACTTTTTACACTGATATGGTTTCTCTCCAGTATGAATTCTTTCATGTACTTTAACGCTATAGGATAAACTTAAGGCTTTACCACATATTTTACATTCACGAGCTTTCTCTCCAGTATGAGTTCTTTCATGGTTTTGAAGAGAACTAGAAGAAGTGAACGCCTTACCGCATTTTTTACATTCATGAGGTTTCTCTCCTCTGTGAGTTATTTCATGTTTTCGAAGAGAACTAATACAACTGAAGGCTTTCCTGCATTCTTTACATTCATAGGGTTTCTCTCCAGTGTGAGTTCTTTCATGTATTTGAAGAGAAGTAGAAGAAGTGAATGCTTTACTGCATTTTTTACATTCATGAGGTTTCTCTCCAGTATGAATTCTTTCATGTAGTTTAAAACCATGGGATAAACGGAAGGCTTTACCACATATTTTACATTCATAGGGTTTCTCTCCAGTATGAGTTCTTTCATGTTTTTGAAGAGAACCAGAAGAAATGAATGCTTTACTGCATTTTTTACATTCATATGGTTTCTCTCCAGTATGAATTCTTTCATGTAGTTTAAAACCATGGGATAAACGGAAGGCTTTACCACATATTTTACATTTATAAGGTTTCTCTCCAGTATGAGTTCTTTCATGTATTTGAAGAAAACTGGGAAAAGTGAAGGCTTTCCCACATTCCTTACATTTATATGGCTTCTCTCCATAGTTTTCATAGTCATACGGTTTGTGTTCAGTGTGACATCTAATGTGCCTAATAAGGGATGAATGATGTACTTTTCCACATTCACTGCAGTCACGTGGTTTAGCTCCTGTAGTTTTCTTGTTGAGATTGAGATTTGAAATACAGCTGTTTTCTCCACACTGACTACCCTCTTCACTTTCACAGAGTCTCCCTACCATATGACTTCTGTAAAAAATGAGAAGCACATTTTTAATGATTTCTTCATTAATGACTTTATATTTGTTATATTGATTATGATTCATAGGAAAAGTTTAGGTTTTCTGCCTTGTCTGAATGCTCAGAAATTGAATATACTGAATGCTCTACAAAAGGACTTCACCTTTGTTATTATCTAAACA